GATTCATCAGAAATTTTCATGAAAGTGACCCCGAAAAACGGAGCTAACTCGGTAACCCATGGCCCGATTTTAACTAAACTTATCTTATTCCGTTGCTATTCTCATTTCATTACAAATATGGCACTATTGTGTGCCATTTTTGCTGTATTTAATTACAGACAAGCCCACAAACAAACAATCTCAGATTTTAGTAGTATATATATATATATATATATGTATAGATTATTGCTATTTCGAAATAAGTTCTTAAACTTATTTTTCTTAAAACACAGAACAGTAACTAAAGAAGTAAAGCAAACAATTACCTCTTCTAGTTACGACCTTTGTACTTAGTTGCTGCCTGACATAGGTTGCTAAGCCTTTAAAAAATTTGCATGTGGAGGAAATGAAACTAAATAATTTTTTTAGGTTTTATATAAACTGAAAAATCATAAATTACTACATTAATAGCATAATTTATCAAGCTTAGTAACTAAGATGTATTTTAGTCTAAAAAATATAAAATTTCAAGCAGACTAAAGACACACCCTACCTCGTTCAAATATTGGTTCAAAAGAAAGAAATGGTGCCAAGCCCATTAAAATGGCTGAGAAAGCCACTAGAGGGACATTCTGAGCTTCCAATTGGTTATTTATGTCATATATAGAAGTAAGTGTATATAAGGGAGCATTTTGAAAAATGGAAAGAGGTGGGGGGTGCCACTGTGTTTGATTTATTACATGAGCAATATCTTAGCAAATTGAAATAATAAGAGACTCTTATTTTATATTCTAGCTTGTCAACATCAGTAATTTGAGTTTATAATTTGTACGGAACTATAGACTTAGTATTTTGACATCACAAACATCTGCATTCAACATACCACTTGACACACAAAAATCGATATTTATCTGTTTTTTTCAATATTTGCTTTTAAATTAACAAATTGAGTAATGTATAGTTCTAAAATTTGAATTATAATTTAGAGTTTGATACCAAAGTTATTGACATAAGTTCATGAAATAGTAGTTCAATAAAATTTTGAATGTGAGTCAACAAACGATATGAACTGACCTTTCACCTGTGACCTGTCTCGAAAGAGTTAAACTTCAGATGTATTGTCACATAACCAGCTAGATATGAAAATTCTCTCCCTTTGGCACTTTGTATCTTCAATAATATAATGCCAGTTGTGTAGATGTATGTCTAGACAATAAGACATTTACTTAACCTATTGACATGTACATTTCAAAGTAGTTTGGATTAACGTAGTTGAAACAATTAATAAATTTTGTCAACCCCTGATTGGTGCCACACCCACCCTCAATAGGTTTGTTTGAGCTTTATATCCTACATGTAGAGATTACATATGCATGTATATAGTCATTAGAAAGAGCTCATTTCACACTATAATCCAACAATGATTATTTTGAAACTGGCATGCAGTTTTCATCACAGGGTACATTTCACTGCCTGTAGTATTTTTAGCTGCTTGATTGACTATAGCACATATGGTTGTTCTTACTAAAATATTTTATAATTAAACATACAGTTAAATTGTATTCTAGAGGTTATGCAAAGTATATATGAAAACTATAAGATGAAGAAAAGTATTTTTATATATAATATGAACATCACCTTAGACTCAAACTATTCAGTCTGAGTGTAAATAACTACTATAGATAAATAATATTTTTTATTAGAAAAACTTGATAAAATAATGTCATTCTTTGTGTAACAAAATCTTATCAAAGGATATCTCAGAGTACCATATGTATTGTTGCATAAATGTCTTTCCTTAGTCAAACAGATGTGAAACACATCCACCCACTGCAAAAGGATTAACTTTAAATATGTTTTTGACAAAATACCAATGGTAATAAAAACTTATGTAAAAAGAATCAAAGTAGTTTTAATACCATGTTAGAATAATATAATGGATAAAAAAGTTATGAAGCTGGCACACACTTTTTTTTATTGTGCAGGGAAGCATATAGTAATCAATTAATCAAATGCAATCGATTAAATAGCCCATCCATCAAATAAGGTTAAGTTTACTGTTTAGTGAGTAAAGTAGAGAGCTGCAAAATTTTCCTATGACTCAAATCTTTAATGAACATTATTTTTTATATTTATCTTATTCAAACAACATGTTATGTTTTTCACAGGAATGTTATTCAACATTCTTTATCTTTCCTTTGATCAATATTTCCCATTTTCTGGAAAAATTCAATTTCTTTTTTCTGTCGTATTTCCTGTCTTCACGGTTTAAATGAAATGTGTTGCTAATTATTATAAAAATGAAATTCTTTGTACACCTGTTCCAAGTAGTCACAACACAATTTATAGAGGGGGATATAGAGTATTTACTTGTTGAAGAGATAAACACATCTCACCTGTGGACAGCCACAAGCATCTCCACAAATACACATTCGTCCACAAGTGTATGGCCTCATCCGTGGTCTTTCCCCCGTTTTCTTATAAACTGTCTCGCACCACAACTTAGCCTGCATGGCTGAGTCCCTTTAAGAAATGGATTCTTCTGTTTTATCACTCTTTTTCATTAGTTTAATTAATAAAAGGAAAATAAAATAGAAATAAATCACTCCTAGATATATTTCATATATAATTTTAACTAATTAATCACATATAAACAATCATAAGATCAGTCGTCCACATAAAAACCACTACAAGTGAACTTCAAGACTTTACCTTTGTCTGTCTAGCATGGTTAGTTTCCTAACATCATAAGCAAACTGCACATCTTGTATGACAAATTCTGGGTATGCCTCCCTATTATAAAACAGAAATGTATAGATTACATATTGAATACTGTTAGTGGTAATACACCAATACACATTTTTACTTAACCTAAATTCATGATTTAAACCAAGCCTGGATTGGTAACAGATGTAGATCATGTAATATGTGGAAAAGCATTATACTAGAATAATAGCTGTGGATTAGAGCTTCCATTCTGTGAAAACAAAGTATCAGTTATGTTTTTCATAGGAGCATTATTAAACATTACTTTCCTCTGATAAATATTTTTCATTTTCTGGAAAAACTCAATTGTTTTGTTTTTTCTATTTCCTGTTTTAAAGAATAGAAAATGAGAGTGGAATATGATGAAAACACTTATCACTTGTAATAGCAAAATGAAAAGATATTGCAAGTACAAATAAGAGCAGTTTATAAAGATGTGACAACATTGGAATATCCACTGAAAGAGAATTATCATGGAAACAAGGTCAAAGAAAGTTTCTTTGTAGAAAAAAGTAAAAGTGAAAACAAGCTTTTTGTGCAACTTTTTTTTCGTGTCAGATCTTGAAGATGATGATTCAAATGTTAACAACATTCATCTTGAAGTTTATTCATTGCTCCCTTCACTAAAACATTTTGTAAAGATTATGTTTTGTACATTGCCTGTTACTTCTATTATTCAAATACTCTGTGTATTGTTTGTGCTGACTGAAAATAAAAATCAATAAAATTGTTGGATATACAAGTCTGTTTAATTGAATAGTTATTATTTAGTTTATTTGGTGGTTTGATATTTAATGATTACTTACTTCTCATAACAAGACGACAGTTATGACAAGTTTGGTTGCTTAACTCGCTAAGAGTCGTACTTTGTGTGTGTGTGTGGTTAAATTGTTGTAATATTGCTGACGTCACTTAACTTGAATCTTTGATATTTTTCTTGTTACCTTAAGTAAGTATTGTTACATTATAGCATCGCTTACAAAGTTTATAGGAAATTCCAGGCCTCAGTTGGGCAATGTATATATATAGGTGACCAAGTGCGAGCAAGTTAAGTGAAGTGAAAGTAAAAGTTCAGTCAGAAAAAAATTATAAAACGTGAAGTTAACTGGTGTGTGAGTGATTAGCCATAACAGGCGATATTCAAAGTGAGTTTCACAGTTTAATAGAGATAAGGAGAATAGTTTTTAAAGTAATTGAACCCATCTGTGTGGACTTTGACAAAAGAAGACAATTATTTAAAGTTCAAGATACAACTGTGGTAACCTACAAAGTAACATAAGTGAATCTATCCCAGATGGTACAATAAGAAACAAAGTAGAGAAAAATAATTTGTCTTGTCAATTGGATTCTAAAGTAATTGAATCAGCCTGTTGGACTTTTGACAAGAAAAGAGAATTATTCAGAGTTTTAGATACAACTGTGATACCCTATAGTGTAAAGAACTTTTGTACATACGTTTGACTTGTTTTGAATATATTATTTTAAAACAAGTGGATTGTGTACTGTCCATTTATTGTTGACATTTATCGCCAACAAGTCACAGACACCTACTACAAAGAATCATTAGCCCACACATACATAAAATTCCAACAAAAACAGAACTTCTGAAAAATAATTTGGAAGTTGTATCAAAAACAGTTACAGTTTTAATGTTGATTTTGAATTCTTTAAACACAAGACTAAATTTGACTAGAATCAAAAGTGAAAATTAGCATTATTGGATCCGATGACATAAAAATTTATCATTACATTTTAGGAATTTTGATTAAGATACTAATTCAGAATTAAAATAAAACTAATGATATATTTCAGTTACCTTTATAAAAGCTTTATAAATAAAACTAAATATATGAAAAAATTATCATTTTATCTTCTTTTATAAAATGTTTTCACACAGCATAATCAACTTACTGAAAATGCTGCAACAAGAGATCTTTTGAACAATGCTCCTTTGGAATCCCTGTTATCATTAATGACCGACTAATCTGTGAGAAAAAAACTATATTAACATATAATGCTTTAAAAATTAACTTAAATTTTACAATGAATATGCACACTAATAACACTGGTCAACAAAATCGAAATTTTTCTCTCATCAAAGATGTAAGCACACTTTTCTAGACCAGTTTTGCACGCTGGTTCCAAATCTGTTTTCTTCTAGCACATCTAGATTTCAAAGTATGACTGGTGTTAATTTCAGCACAATTTAGGTAATAATTACACATTAGGCTAGTTAACCTTACACCTTTATTCATTTTTCAGCATAATTCCCATAAAAGTTATACACACCATACACTTGGTTAAATTTATACAGTACACACTTATGAAAAAAGAAATGTACAACAACTTAAATTATAATTAAGGCAATAAACTTTCAAATTTAACGTACTAGAGGAAAACCAAAAATAGATTTGGAATCAGCATCCCAAAAGCTATCTAGCCAACCTATAATTACAGCTGATGAAAATGACTCGTTGGCCAGTGTAATCAGTTAGGCATTTTGCTTGACATACAATAATAATATGCCAAAAACAGGTTACTTTGTTAAGCACGATGCTACACAATGAGCTACTTTTGTTGTGCCTACTGTAAGATTAAGATCCAAAATTTTAGTTTTATGAGACTTGAAGACTGACCAAATGTGAAAAACCTTTAAAATTAAGTTCTTAAATATTCAAGACAGGCATATTCCTTATTGACAAAAAATAGTGGTTGCAAGAAAAAACAGGTTGGCTCACTAAGGATAAAATTAAAGAAAAGCATTATCAATATAAGAAGCTCAAAGTCACTGCAATGGTGGAAGATTTGGAGGACTACAGAAGATCAAGAAAGTTGGTCAAATGGAAAATTAAGAAATCAAAAAAATTATATGAAAGAAAAGGTTAGCTGAAAACAAAAATAAATAGTAAGGATTACTTCAAATACATCAAGGGTAAGCAAAATGTTAGGATGGGAGTAAGGCCTTTCAGGGATGATACTGGAAGAATAATATCCAATGGATGGCTGGTTATTCTTCTTTTTCTTCAGTGTTTCCTAATGAAGATTTAAGCAATATTCCTCAACCTGAACAGTTGCTAGATGGTAACAAAACTGAACAAGATGATCACATTAATTCTGATCTTGTGAAAAGAAAACTGGGAAGATTAAAAGAATGATAAAGCACCTGGGCGAGATAGTATTTACCCAAAGGCTTTGAAAGACGATAATGATTGGATACATGAGCTACTTACTATTACTTTTTGTTAGTCCTTGAATAGTAAGCAGGTGCCAGAAGGTTGGAAGTTGGCTAATGTTACTCCTCTTTTCAAGAAGGTAATAAAAATTGACCCAGTAATTACAGACCTGTTACTCTTACATAAGCAGCGGGAAAAGGTTTTTAAAGGCCTAATAAAGAATGTTTTGCAAAGTCATTTAACAAAGTCAGCATGACTTCACTAGGGGAAACTCTTGCCTTACTAATCTTTTGACTTACCACAGATGAGGGTACAGGTGTGGATGTGGTTTATCTGGATTTTCAGGAAGCATTTGAAAAGGTGCCACATAAAGAGTTAATAAAAAGTTATCTCTGTAGGTGTGGGAGATATGTTGGCTTATCAAATAGAAAACTAGCTAGATGTAAAAAAGCAGAGGGTTGTCATTCAGACCAGATTAATGTCACAAATGAGGTACCTTAGGTTTGTGTTAGGACCTTTGCTCTTTTTTATTCATATCAATAACGTAGATGAAGGAATGGTCGATGGATTATTTAAATATACTGACAACATTAAAATTTTGGGTGTTGTTGGCTGTGAGAAGGATGCTACTGCTTTACAAAAGAATTTGGATTATTTGGCAAGTTAGGCAAATAAATGGCAGATGGATTTAATAATACATGCATTGTAATAGGTCATTGGTAAGACAATTAGAAATGACAATGAATTGTTGGAAAGGTTCAGAAGAGGGCTACTGGGATGGAAAGGTTAAGATTTCTGAATTTATTTTTGCTTGAAAAAAGAAGAATTAGAGAGGATCTGATATAGGTGTTTAAGATTAAGGGTATTGATAGTGTTGATGCATCATCTCTCTTTCATATTTAATGATGAGAATGGTAAGATTAAGGGACACAAATAAATTTTGGCAGGGAAGAAATCATCTTCAGCTAAAACAATTATATTTTCTAACAGAGTGGTTGGCCTTATGAATGGGCTGCTTTCAGATGTGGTGGATGCAGTTAATTTAAATGAAAGCTTGATAAATATTTGAATGATAATGGCTGGCTTTGAGGTTTTGTTTTTTTAGGATTTAGTTTAATTTAGTGAAAAGGACAGACTAGATGGACCAAAAGATCCCTTGTTGTCCTCTGAGCCACCAGGGAGCCAAAAAACAGGCTGGACTTTCATTTGTGTTAAAACTTGTTTTTTACTTGTGGTTTCTGTCTCTCAAACACTTTTTCTATTTCTTGAAATTATATACAGCAAATCATACAATGTTTTTGTGTTTCTGGCAGATAATTATGCTATTTTATTTCTATTAGTTAAAATAACCTCAAGGATATATATTAACCTGTAAAAAAAAACTTTTTCTTTCCCAAAAATCATTTTGTTTACATGACACACAGAAAAACTAAAAATTTACTACCATAAATTATAAAAAATTAGTGATGAAATAACTGGTTCTTAAGTTATTTTTTGAAATACAAGTTTTGCAAAATCTAGTTTTAAAACTTTGAACATTGTATCTTATGTATCTACCACTTTTATAATCAATAAAATTAACCATTGTACATAAAACAAACGTGTCATTAAACTGCTGCAAATTCCACCCATTGTGTTTTAAAGTTATACTGCTATTAATTCCCTTAATTGATGTCCAATTATGAAATTAATTACAGTTTAACACTTTTGTTTGGAGAATCATTTATTACCACTATCATCACCATAGTCTACTAGGTAAACAAGCTGTTGATTATTCATTTAACCAGTCAAATAAGTCATAATCTTCATCTAAGTGTAACTGACCAGTAAGTATATTTTTTCTTTATAAAAAATATAGTAAGTGTGAACTGTTTGTTTTTACAAAACCAATTAAGGAAATGATAATGTTTACTACCTTAAACATCAAAGACAGCTGATCAAACCATGTGTCAAACTATATATACATTCAGGTTATTAAAAACTTGACTGGAAAACTTTTAAACTGGAATAGGCTCGTAAGGAGTTAAATACAGGTATAATTAAAACATGTTTGAACAATAACATAGTATTTATTATTTGACTTGAAACTCAAATTACAACTTGCTTTTCATGCACCCAAGAGGAGAAGAAAGCATACATTGACTATTAATAAAATGTTATTCAGATAGCATTTATAAGTATATAATTTGGTTCACCTAATGTCAAGCACTAGGTATGGCTATTAAAGTTATTTCCTTAAAATCAGTGGCTATAAACTTAAAATGACCAGGATGAGCACTCAATTACATAACCAGGCTATAAACTTAAAATGACCAGGATGAGCACTCAATTACATAACCAAGCTATAAACTTAAAATGACCAGGATGAGCACTCAATTACATAATGAAGCAGGTGGAATGAAGAGTGTGAACAATTGTTTCACAACTCTTTTTATATATGCAATTAAAAACAAATTTCATTTTACAAATACCAGTTTACTCATGGAAAGCTCCAACAACATGCCCCAAGTCAGGAAAAAAGGAGTTTAAATTATAACTCTGGGAGGATTAAATTATAGCTTATTTAGTTTACCATGGAAAAATTAAAATAATTTTAAAATATGAACAAAATATTGACAAAATAACATGTCATTTAACTTCTGGTTCTAAAAGCTTACAAAAAAATAAAAAACATGCTTGCAAGTTCATTTCCTTATGGTTTACCTATATTATAGGCCTGAAAGAATCTACACCAAATAAAAACAACAAAAAACAGAGATGCAAACATATGAACATAACAAGGAAAGTGAATTACTAATTTATATATTTTATATCTCACCTTCATGCAATGTATATTATAAAAGGGACTTTTAATACAGTAAATAAGTCAATAGCTTATAAAATGACATATTTACTCTTCTAGAGAAGACTTGAACATATATCAAGATGTCATTAGTTTACAAAATAATATATCTACTTCTCTGGAGAAGAGATGAACAAATGTCAAGATACTGGCAATGTATAAAATAATACAGTTACTCCTCTACAGAATAAGTAAACAAATATCAAGAGGCTAATAATTTATAAAGTAATATGTTTGCTCCTCTACAAAACAAATAAACAAACGTCAAGATGCTGGTAGTTTATAAAATAATTTATTTACTCTTCTAGAGTACAAATAAACAAACATCAAGATAGTGATAGTTTATAATATATTTACTCTTCTAGAAAACAAGTGAAGAAATATCAAGATACTATTAGTTTATAAAATAATTTATTTACTCCTGTAGAAAATAAGTGAACAAATGTAAAGATGCTAATAATTTATAAAATAATACATTTACTCCTCTAGAGAACAAGGAAATGAATATCCAGATGCTGGGAGTTTAACAAATATATTTACTCTTCTAGAAAGTATGTGAACAAATATCAAGATACTAGTAGTTTATAAAATAGTTTATTTACTCCTCTAGAGAAAGTGAACAAATGCCAAGATACTAGTAGTTTATAAAATAGTTTATTTACTCCTCTAGAGAAAGTGAACAAATGCCAAGATACTAGTAGTTTATAAAATAGTTTATTTACTCCTCTAGAGAAAGTGAACAAATGCCAAGATACTAGTAGTTTATAAAATATTACATATACTTCTCTAAAGAACAAGTAAACGAACATCCAGAATCTGGTGGTTTATAAAATTATATATTTACTCTTCTAGAGAGTAATGATGAATGTCAAGATGCTAATAGTTTATGAAATAATATACTTCCTCTTCTGGAAAACCTCTGAATAAACTAAAAGATACCGGAAGCTTATAAAATAATATCTTTACTCTTTAAAATGAGTTTTTAACAGTAAACTTTTGGTGGTAAGGGGTTGGAGAAAGAGAACTATATATTTATCAAGTTTGTAGGAATGTGTGTAGACAGAAGAAAGTATAGGTCCAGTGGGTAGATCTAGTTTGTGTATTTTAGGAAGACCATGTAATATATTGGGTCAGAAGCCACAGGAGCATATTTGATCAAAAGTAGTTTGGAGGATAGCATTTGTTTGTTTGTCTTTTATTTCTAAGAATGCATTGAACTTTGTCTTCTCAGGTGAGGGGTAAGGCTAAGAACAGTTGTGTATATTGGTCTAAATTTGGAGTCAAATAAGAGTTCACTTTGTTTACATAATATTTTCAATCCATTACTATCGTTAGGAGAAATAAGAATAATGTCAGCATTGTTTTAAAACAGATTTTCTTGGGGGAAAGAGAAGATGTAGGTATGCAGGAGTTATATCTGTACAGTGTACATAAAGCCTTACAAATCTAATTATCACAAAACTTAAAAACTCAGCCCTGGTAATGCATGACACTTATTAATTATACTTTTAAGTTTTGTGTGTTATTATTCAGCTTTTTAAGATACATACCAAATACAAATAACATAGCTTCAACTACAAAATTTTCAATAGAAATTTCTATTCAGCCAATAATATTGCAGTATTATAAGTTGTTAAAAATGTGATAGTTTAGTATACTCCAAATGTTTGATTTACAAATACGTTATAGAACTTCTGGCTTAATCTACAAGGAGACAATTTGATTCACTTTGGGAAACAAAGTAAAGAAACAGAAGCACTTCTCACAACATGAGAGTAAAGAGCTTCTGCAATTGCTAGTTATTCAAATAGGAAAGGAAAAATATACCTTTTTTCTTGAACTCCTAGTGTATATTAAACATTGTACAGTAAGTTCTAAGTTGGAATTTCACATCAACACTTCAAGTATGTATAGTTTTATACTCTAATGCAGAGCTTCCCAAACTCTTTTACTTTGAGACTATCTTGATGTAAGTAAAAACGTTTCAGGCCCCAACCTATAACTTTAGCATGGTGGTTGAAAAAATATTGCCTAGTAAAAACATCTCCTTTTGACATACTATATCATTTAATTAATTAAACATAATTTTTATGGGCTTATTGTTTATTTAGAATTAAAATTAATACAGCATCTTTGTATTCAGCTCATTTTTTTGTAGATTCCCCAGAAAAAGCACCATGGCCTCCAGTGTATACAGACCAATCATGTTGGTCATACATGATTGGTCTGTATATATGATGAGAACTTATTCTAAGACTACATAATGAAGGCAGGACACTAAAACTTCATTAAATGAATTACCACTTACCAAGCTTTCATCTTCCATGATACTTAAGTTAAGAGAGAACTGTCTCATGAAAAATATTCCCAGCACCAGAAACACAAAGGCTAATCCTACATGTACCCATAACAACAGTGAACTGAGGGATAAAGAAAAAAACGTATGTCATAAAAACATAGACATCAGATATTGGAGAAACAGTGTAAATCTAACTTCTGTTCATATTTAACAAAGGTCAGTTAATTTAGATTTTAAACAGTGTAAATATTTATATAAAAGTGAAAAATTATAAAGCTTTCTTTATATACCATTGATGATATCCAAAACAAAATGCTTTTTATTTTTATACACTCACACAATGCAAGAGAAAATGGGAGCATTTATACATCATGGATCATACAGACTTCCCAAACTTTTCTAGCTTTCCAGGACTTTCTTTAGGCTCCATACTCAGTTTCTAGGGCTTTTAAACCCTTCTATGCAGGATTAAACTTTCATTAACTGAATGTGTCTGCTAGCAGAAATTGCAAAAGTATTGGCTGACACAAAATATAAACACACACAATTCTGATAATACTTTTGTTTGTTGATTTTTGAAAAATTAATTAAAATCTGCATGAAACCTGAATACTAGCAGTGGTCTACAGTACAAGTATGAAACTGGTAATAACAACACTGCCTCTCTCCTCATGCAATGTGAAAACAAAGAAAAACATATTCTAACCCACAGTATCTTGCTAGTCAGTCCATGACAGGCAGATATACATCACCTCAAACATTCAAAGAGTCCATAATATATATAGCTATGCCACACCTCAGAACACCTTCAAGACCAAGACAGGCAAAAATATCTTAACACAAAACACTCCCCAGTCCATGACCGGCAAATTAACTCAATTTAAAATACTTTCTGGTCCATGACAGGCAGGTATGCCTCACCTTTAAGCACTCTCTCTAGTCCATGACAAACAGGTTATACCTCAACTTTGAGCACTCTAGTCCATGACAGGAAGGTATACCTTAACTTCAAGCACTCTCTAGTCCAAGACAGGAAGGTATACCTCAACTTTGAGCACTCTAGTCCATGACAGGCAGGTATACCTTAATTTCAAGCAGTTTCAAATCCTCAACTACTACATATCTTTATAAAGATAACTACTTTCACATTGCACATAACTTCCAAAATGATTAAATTCATAATACCAATCTACTTGCATTAAATTTTTCTACTGCTAAAGGACAAAGAAAAAATAAAGCAATAAATGGTACCATAAAAAATATTTAAAACATTTTCTGAGCTGATTTGTCTCTACCTATACAACAAAAATGATTAATTTATTTAAATATTTTTATGTACGTAAATGTTATACTGACAGTCAAAAGCAAGTTACATAAGTTGTTTAAACAAGAATAATAAACAATGTATTGTAGTTAAAAATCTTTTCACTTAATTATCTCAATACTTTGGCTATTCTTGACTAATAATCTCCTAGATTTTTTTATGAAACAAACTTCTAGCTTTTACACAGATTCTAGCCTCCTCACAAAAAAAAAGCATCAAAAAGTCTACAATATGAATACTTACTGTGGACTTAGGTTAGCTAGAGTAGTGTGACCAAAGACCTCAGAATCTCCAACTGAAATAAAAAAATTACAATATTCAAAACAACTCGGAATTCACAAACATTTTACAGTTTCACAAGAACTCTTTCTTTACATTTGAATTAACTCTTTCACAGATACTGTAGTCTAAACTCGTGCTTTACTAACAATTTCCTCTATGTCCTGTTAGCAGTAAAAATGTTTCAATCATTAAAAACACCATAATAATGACACTATCGGCCATATGTATAAAATACAATTTTCCTGATTATTCTTTAAAATTTTACATTAAACATGACACTATCTTAAGATCATTACAACGAAAAATTAACAATAAAGAAATTAAAATGTGCATCTGCACATTACTATGTACAAAAATTCATTTTTACTGGAAGATTTTCCTTATTGATAAGCTACTTGGATATTTCTAATGTTTCAAAGACCATATTCCATCAACAGTCTGAACACTTACCAACTGTATCTTATTAAAAAAATAACTTAGCAAATCATCTCAACATATTTTCTTAGACTAAATTTGAAACCAATTGCATTTTACTTCCAATGAGAGTTAACTGTACTTTAGTGCAACCAAGGTAGATTTGTAGCTGGATAAATATTTCACAGCCCTCTCTCCAAAGAAGGGTATTCAGATAGTGATATTTATGCAATATACCATGTGGCAAGTTTGCTACAAAGCTTATTACAATGAAAACTGTGGTGTCAGACAATAGTGTATAATTGTGGCCATAAGAATGAGCACAAACAACAACAAAAATCAGTTTATTTCAAAGATTCATAGAAAGCTACTCAAGGACTACCCGTACTAGCCATCCCTAATTCTGAACTGATAAACTGTTGAAATACTCAAATGAATAGGGAGATTTCACCATTATTTTTATAATGTTCTCACAGTATGAAAGTGTGAAGAACAAATTTGAAGAAGGTGGACATGAACAATGGACCCCAGATTCACAGTCCAGCACAATAACCTTTAGGCCAATACCACTCAAAGTCATAGTTCCTTGAGCAGCAAGGGACCAGATATGTTGTTAATTCTTATAAATTAACCCTTGGTATGTAACAACATGAATACACTGAAAACATACCCTTTATTATGCATAATTCTCCTATCATCTGTTAACAACAAGATAAATATACATGTATTGCATGTTTAATATATACAAACACATCTCTTAAAATCTTCGTCAAACATATAATTGCCTAAACTAAACCAATGAAAAACAAAAAACACAAACTTGCCTATAAAACTCAGGAAGATATTGAAAAAAAAGAATGGAATGTATAAAACTTGGTTAATTACATGTTTAGTAAGTTACCATAGAAACAGGATCCAAATGACATAGATGAAGGGGTGCTTATTTACTATATAACAACAAGAATAAGTAAAACAAATTTCAATTAATAAAAAAACTCAACTAACCTCAAGAACAACAGAGTTTCAGATAAATGCATATCCACATAAATAATACATTTTTAAAATAAAAACCACATTAGAAGTAAATATAATTTACCAGTATGTATATCATTTTCCAGCTCAAAAGAAAAAGAACTTGTATTGGTAAGCAATGATAATAGAATAAAGAAAAAGCACGGGAAGTCATTCTCGATATAGTGATTGACAAGCTAAATAGAGATATCAAGGATTTGATGTAAAGTCCAATAAAATGTTTGCATTCCACCACAATATTATGGAGCCCTACTCTATCTCTTTGTTCTCCCAAGCAGTACTGAAAATCTATGACAAAGTGAAAATATTGCCTAATGCAAAACAAATAACAGTTTAGGCCTCTATGTCATTCACAGCTTCTTTCTTTTCTTCACTGAAATGATAAAAGAAAAGAAAAATTCACAAACGAGTTACGCACAGATTAATAGCTAGTGATTACCTAGTTGAGGATTACTGATGAACTGAAAATTATAAGTCTAGTTTTATTGATCGATATTAATATAAAATGTACAGAACTGAATTTATGCTGTAATTGCCTCTAGTGGTCCTTAACAGGACAATAATATAGAAACAAAAAGAATAAGCACCTAGTAAACACAGCAAAACCAAAAAATATGCAAGTTCTCACAATTGCATTTTCAACATTGTACTTTAGACTGGTTTTAGCTGAGGTTCTGGACTGGCCACTGTATATTTTAACTCTATGGTTACGGTTTGAACCCATTTGGCATACATCTCTTATAAAGAACGATACACAGTTCAACAATACTTACAACAGCTCCGAGTTTTCTTAATATACCTTCACAACAATTGGTAAGATTTTGTTAAAGATTACAAGTATTTTGTACACAAAGAATGAGATTGTTTTAATTAAGTATTTTAATTAAAGATTTGTTATTTCTGTATTGTAGTTATTTGCACTCAGACTGAATATTTCGAGTATTATCATCAATGTATTGTGCAGTGAAATGTTTAAAATTAAAAAATTTAAATCCCTCTTAATTTATTGTCGAATTAGCTTGAAAATTTTCTTAGTTTATGTTCTTTATTGTAAGTTTTTACTTTTTCACAAAAAGTGTATTTTTAATGTTTTATTTTCCTTTCCTATCCTTTAGCATTATTATTGAATGCAACATTTGCCTACTACACTAAGCCTGATAAACTGAGGCAGTTTGGCTTATATATTAAAAAATTATTAAACCTTTCTAATATGTATCTTAAAACATAACTAACATACAATTACCTAATATATAAAACTAAAACCTAAATAAAATTTAATTGTCTATCTAACTAACATATTTATAGGTGAGAAACAATGTTACAGTGCTTGCAAGGACAAAAGCAGCAACAATGCTAACAGTCGTTTGACAAGTTTTATATGGAATTCTTCGTGCCAATTTTAAAATAACTGTTGGGAAATAGTATTTCAAAATGTAGCTTCCTATTCGCTACAAACATCTAGCTCAACTAAGTATAATTGACAAGTTTTATATGGAATTCTTCGTGCCAATTTTAAAATAACTGTTGGGAAATAGTATTTCAAAATGTAGCTTCCTATTCGCTACAAACATCTAGCTCAACTAAGTATAATTCGCTAAGAAATTTCAAATATATGTGTAGAGAGTGGGTGCAGCATCTATCAAGAGTTTCAAGAAATTTTTTTCTCCAAATGTGCCCTACAGAGATTGAAATAATAATCTGTAAACAGAACAATTAACCTAGTTTCTGTCCATACATAAAAGTATAGTGTATACAGGAAGAACTATTTAGGTTACAGAGACAAAAAGTTCAAAGTTTGTGATCTTGTGTGTCAAACCGAAGTATAAGAATTTTTCTTTAAGGTTTCTTTTGAAATAAAGGATTTAAAACTGAGATAAAATGAAACTTTGAACTATAATATAAATTTTAATGCTGATTGAATGTAACAAAGCAATATTGTAGGTCTCAAGACCATCCTTCAGAAGATCTCCGTCTCGACCCTCTGAAGCTTGGTCTCAACGTTTTAGAGGTTTTGAAAATGAGATCAACAAAATTTAAATGTTCTAACAGTATTAGACCAGTCAACTACCCAGGATTATTAAGCACTAGATATCGATTGTCCAGCAGTTCATATGAGGCACGGTTTAGCATCAAAGATGTCTTACTAGTAAAACGCCCTTAGTACTACACCTTTGCACCTCCCTTATTTTTGTTTATGTCACCAACCACCATATTACCCATATGCCAACATGTATAGTAGATCTGCTTCAAAGATCATAAAGAATTTACTGACACCAATACTGGTTTTAGTTTTCTTTGCTGACCTGTTCAATTCTTTTTATTCGTTCATTTTTTTTTTTCTGTGGGGTTAATGTGTAAAACACTTATTGTTATGATGTTATGAAGTTTAATGCGTGTGATTTTTATTCTTCTTGCTTTATTTTTCATAGTGGGTCTGAGTCTTGGTCTCGACCCCTAAGGTCTCGGTCTTGGACATTGAGGTCTCGACTACAACACAGTAACAAAGTAAACTCTTGACATGTGCAGTACAGAGGTGCTCGTAATTATAAAGTGAAATGCTGTTGTCCTTGAACCAATTCATAACAGATGCAGCAGCATGGCAATGTGTTATTATACTGGTAGTGTGTGCAGCATTATCCAAAATGTCAGTATAAGATGAAGCATTTATCCTTATCTTTATTACAACCAAACCATTATATTTCTTTCACCACTTTTCATCATTGGAACAACACAGCCATATGCACAGCATTCAGTCAGTTGAGACTTGTCCATTAGAACAACAAGCAGTGAGATTCAATACTCCATGATGCATTTCCAATGTTCAATAAACCTATCTCATCAATTAAGTCTCCACTCTAGGTTCAGGCTTGTAATTAATAGTATGTGAGCAACAGTTCTTTCATGAAAATAAAACCTTGACTTTGTAGTTCCCATTGGATTGTAGATAAGCTGGCCTCAATTCCAGTGCATTCACTGACTCTTTACCATACACTATGAGGTATGTCTCGCCTGATCTGTAAATAACTTTGGGCTGTTTATCCTAATTTCAACATTGGCAGGACCTGTTGGTTTCTATTTATTAAGAACATTACCTACAGTTGACTTGGGAAGGCCCAGTGTCAAAAGAAATGATGTAAACACTCATAAACTTCATCTGGCACCTAATAACAATGCTAAAAAGATAATTCACCTCTTTGCCTCATACTATCTTGATTAATACTAACATTTGCCACTTTTTGCACATTCTTTCAGTGTGAGAGAAATATTCAAATCCTTGCTAGAAGGGTTGATTTCAAGGTTGGGGGTACTGCCTCACTACTTTTGGTAATAGTGTATTTATTTATGCATCAAATAGTTTGTGGGTCTGTGACATGTTGGTTACAGGGTCCCTAATAACAAGTCACACAAAAACTGACACATAACACAAATACCATCAATATTGTAATTAATCCTGGAGTCATTTTGTAGCTTATGTAGAAAATGAGTGATTTCACTCAAATGATTTGGTCAGTTTTTTTATAATAAATTTGTTATAGACAAAAACATAAAAATACTCAATATTTGCATCCCAGTAGTACTGAATAGTTTAATAACAAGTTAGAAACATGAGGGTTAAATTCAAATGAAACTCAACAACTCATTTTACCAACAGAACTTTACATCTTTAGCACACAAAAGTAGATATTGCATTGTTCAGTTAAAAATATTACCTAAGATCTAAAACACTGATGTCAAAGTTATTTATAACTGAAATTATATCAAATACACAAAAAATTAATTAACTATTGTGACCTAAATCTAATTGAGTGTCTCTACTATTATCCTTTCTTTGGAACATACCAATGCTACACAAAACCTACACACAACAAAATGATGACAGCAAACAACTTAATTCACAAAAAAAAAAAAATTAGACAAGGGTGTGGACCAACCAACACCTACTACACTGTTAAAGAAAGGTTAGAATGAATACTCACCAAGATTTCCCTGATAGTTAACTGGTAAAACAACAACCAGTGAAACAAGACATATAATAACCACATAGAGAATTAAGTATCGCTGAAAGGATAAGTACTGTATCGCATCATGGCCCTTCCTCTTCAGGATTTGTTCATCCCTATCCAAAAAGTCACCATCATTTAAATCACTAATGAATAATGATAGACATACAAGCATTTTACAAACATTTGTACATGGCTTCAAAAGATTACTAAACCAGAAAAAATAAATCAGTCTTAACCCTTTTGCTACTGCCTCAATGGATTACACCAACCAAATGACAAATATTAGCCATCAGAGTTTAATATGCTTTATATATCTTAATGAAATGTTTCAAGCTCTTAGCAAACATTACAAATCTTTTGTAAACAAAAAATCAAAATTTTAATTGTGCATTTTTACTAAAAATTCATCTATGAATACATGGTGTCAGTGTTGACTGCTCCAAGTGTACAGTAGTTTCCAAATTAAGATTAAAAATATATTTCTTCACCTGAAAATTAATCAAGTTTCATTACAATAATCTTTAAAACCTCATAATTAATATGAAACATTCTTTTTCACTAAAACTTTGTATTTTATCTGTTATTTTTTTCTATAACTCTATATGCATTTGGTCATAAAGAAATGTTAAATAAAATGCGTAGTACTGTTTTATCTTTTTTAGTATTGACTCACAAAGTTTCAAGGTACTTCTCCTACGAGCTTCTATTATAACCTTTTCACATCTATTAACTATGTATATTTTACTGTTAGCAGCTGAAGTAGAAACCTGCCAAACATGAAGCATTGAATAACTGCTCTTGCCATTAGACAGTTTATATGACACCATAATACACCACCATTGATAGCAAACAAGCATGTGTAGTGCAAGAAGGCAAGATTTCCACAGAGTTTATCATAATCCTGGCTCTGAGAACATAATGGAGATAGGATTTATTGGCTTGTTTACAGTAGTGGTTGAAAGAAGAATTATATAAGGTAATAAAACGTTTATGATATGGCTCTGTACAACAACTGGGCCAATCCAATAAACTGGTAGGTATTTAGATGTTGGTTATTTTCACAGTGTAGTCAGAATTTAGTGGTATAGGTGCACAAAGTGCTTATGAACATGTATATATATTATCACTATTTACTCATAAATGCTTAATTTTTAGTTATTTTCTTAAAGTATACAGCAATAAATATAAAATATATAGAAAACAATAATTTCTAGTATTTATGACATTATAAAATTGATTTACACTCGTGTTATACTTTCCAAGCCTCGCCATAAGCCTTGTTTATTTTCTCAGTGTAGTGGAGGAAGACAAATCATTTTTGTAGAATTAAAAGATGCATTTTAGAAAACAAAAAATTTATTGAAGTACTACATTGGTCACAAAAAATCACTTTGATTTATCTGGCTTTTTTCAACTAAGCTATATGCAGGTTAATAAACTCTCATTTCTGTTCAGATCGACATTTCCAGTAAACTTTGACTTTCTCCTTCAAGCCAATTACAAATGACTATCAGGTTTACATAGCTTGGAATGTGCTCTTTCTATTGGTTATAAATATGTACTTAGTAGTCATGAGTAGACAAGAGGTTTCAAAAGAATGGAGTAATGGGAGGGGCTACTCTGGTAGTTTATTAAATATACTGATATCTTAGCAAATCAAAAAGATGGGAGGTTCTTATTTTATATTCTAGCTTGTCAGTGTTTTGAAGTTTGACTTTCTAATTTGTTAATCACTGGAGACAATGTAAGGTAGGCAAGTGGACATGCAATGTGACACACAAAACTTAACATCTTCCTACAATGAAAATATATTTCCATAGATACTTACCTTTCCTCACATAATAGCTTTTCTCATTCAGTAGTTTCCTCTATATGCAAATTTGTTTTTTCATGCCACAAGCCTTGAAACTCCCAGCTACCCCACAATCAACATGGTTCACTGTGTTTTTGCATGTGGCAACCCTCCACCAATAGAAGTGCAACACACCCTCTTGATGCACATGACTCCCTCTACTTAATTCTACCTAACCATCACTTCCAGATTAGGCAGAAACTAAGCATCAGTTTTAAGTGAGGAAGAAGAGTGGGAAGTGTGAGTGGAAGTAAGTACCAAATGGAAATAATTTTCAGTGTAGGAAAATGTTAACTTCTGATATGGTACCTTACCTCATTCACATAATAGCTAGAATCCCAAATTGAAAAGGTGGAGTGACCAGTGCAAGGGATGTAGATAAGCATCCCTCGAAAGCATCTAAAGAACACCCATGGACTGAGAACCCCCGTTGGGAGAGGAACATATGTGGTAGACCACACCATGTCTTCACCTAATGTAGTAGCAGGTGTTGCATAAAGGGGCAGAAATAAAGAGGAGAAAAAAAGTAAAAAATCTGTGTGGGTCTGACTCCACATCCCATTGAAAGCACTGGAATCGTAGTCCAGGAGAAGAATGAATGTAGGGTCTCCATCTACTTACCAGATGGTGGGGAAAGCTAAAATGGATGTGCCCCTCAATGTAGAATGGGTAGGGCATGACAGACCATACTCAGTAGGTCAACTACAGTCCAAAACCAGGGTGTATCAAGCATATATCTTTTAACCCATGGTAGGAGGAGGGTCCTCAATGTCTTCACCTCAAGTTTCGTAGAACAGAAAGAGAAAAATTCCATACCAGTCAACTAAACATGGCACATGTGTGCCAATCCACAACCAACATTTGCCATCCAGAAACCCAACATCTGAATGACGGTAGGAAGAGACATGCCAATGCAGAGTTTCACTTCAAGTCTAAAAGCAAATGGACCAGTTCCACTCTGTGCAACATCATCCTCAGTGAGTGAATTTCACTGAGGTGGAGTGCCAGAGGGACTACATTTGCTCTGTGCAACATCACGCTCCTGATAGGACCACACAGAAATTGAAGCACATGGATGACTGGCCAATTCCCTGAGTAACTACAGAGCTCAGGCAAATCAAGCTGGATCCACGTAACATCAACCTCTGGGACCCACTGCATGGAGGTGAAGTGCATGAGGAAAAATTCCATGACCAATGTAGGATGAGGAATCACAACCAACATGTGTGAGGACTTATGTTGATTGGTCCTGCTCAAATAAAAAACAACTAACTGGGAACCAGATTCCATTTAATGGTAGGATGAGGGATCCCAACCATAGGGATGAACTGCAATGTGGCAGATCTACTCAATCTCTTGTATCATAGGATCTAAGCCATTTACACCGGGAGAACACCACCACCCTACTCTCTACTGAATGGAATTGAGCACATTCAGGAGGTTGCCTCCAAGGTACATCATCCCATGAGATAGGAACTGAAAAGAGGCAAGAATTCCCATACTCCACTAGAAGAAATGGGAGGGAGAAACAACTTTGGTGGGACATCCCATACAACCCTCGCCACACTACCCCAAGCAACATCATCCTCTTGGGCCCAACCCTACTGATGTGGAGTACCAGGAGTAGCAGGGTGTAACCTGCACCAGCATGCAAGGCACAGGTAGAAGGTGAGAAAGTGTGATAAAAATTCTCTTGTCATGAACAGGTTCTATAGGAAAAGAAGGGCCAACTCATGTAAAGGTCAATCTCCCAACAAATTATGGCCAGAAATCCTCAGCCAAGACCCCCCGCTCCTGAAGCCTGTGTCCCAACAGTTGAAGTAGTAATACCAGGATCTGAAGTTGTGACACGAAATTCAGAGTTCATAATCAACTCTGAACAAGTCAAAAAGGTAGGGAAAGAAAATAACAAAACAAAGATAAGTTGACTTGGCAGAAAACCAGTGTACAAACTGTAGAACAAAATACAGTAGAAATGTTAAATAACTACTTTGCAAAAAAAAAAAGTAATTATCTCATTAAATCAGCACAATTTCCAAACATCTACACTAGACAACTGCATGACGAGAAGTGATGGTTAGGCAGAATCAAATAGAGGGGGTCATGTGTATCAGGGTGGCGTGTTGCACTCCTATTGGAGGAGGATTGTTGCATGATGATTTACATGTGAAGACACAGTGAATCATGTTAATCATAGGGTAGGTGGGAGTTTCAATGCTTGTGACATGCGAAAAAAAATGCCTATAGAGGGTTGCACTGAACGAGAAAGCTATTATGTGAATGGAGGTAAGGTACCATATCAGAAAAGGATACTTGATATTTTGTTTTTAATAATTTCGTTTGAATTAAGAAGTTAAAACATATATAATATTAACATTTGAATTATAAATTACATTTTGATGCCATACATTGATAATAAAGTTGCTTAATTAAATTTTAAAATAACTAAAATGTCGTGACATGCCCTTTGATCAGTCCATATAGCAAGAAGGTTAAGAGATATCCATCAATATATTATTAGAGATAACCCTTTCATGACCAAGCATTTTTTATCCTTATGAGCCAATTAAGACAAGGCAATTCAATATAATATCAAAAATTGTTTATTTTCTTTAATAAAGGCCCTACAAACCATATATCATTGTACCCAATGTGCTTAAAACCTTTATCAAGGTATATCTCCTAGGAAACAATGAGTTAAAATAATACTTGAGCAGTCTACAAGACAATACTGATAAGATCATTTCACACTATATAAACGTTAACTAACTCATATTTCTAACAATATCGCAATAACAACTTACTTCACTTTGAAGATTGCTGTAAGCCATGAGCAAAAACCCTAAAAAGAGAAGTATTATTTATTACAAAATTTTTTCCAAAAATATATAAAATCAAGAAGCCTGTAAACTAGTTTTTAAAACATTTTATTACAGTTGTAGTCAAGATCATAATATGAAATAAAAGTTTAGGTAACATTAAATTAATGAACAAGTTATGATATTATTCTATATACATATCTAGATTTTTAGACTCGGCTATATTACTATAACAAATAACTTTACAAGGTTTTTTTTTTCAATAGATTAATTAGTGGAAAAGCTAAAAGGTTTTATGACAGCACCTATTTGCAAGTTTTAAAATCTCACTTAAATCAACAGATAGGTTTTCTTTTTTTCCAGCATCTTAAATTCAAACTCCACTGTTATTGATAAAAGCAGTATTGCTTTCCAAGGGAACTGGTAATAGTACATGAAGCAAACAACTAATTTTTGTGTTTTGTAAGTAAGTCATATTTCATTGTCTTTTATGTTATTTTCTTGAATACTATTGAATAAAATGTTTAATATGTATTATATATATATTTTATATAGTTTTATTTATTTTGTCAGTGTACGCGTGTATATATATTTATTTATTTTGAAGATTACTTTGCATTACTAACTTAGTATATTGATTTAGAACAAGCCTAAATCTCATAAGTTGGCCAAATCTCATGCAATATAATTGGGATTACATCCAAAAATATTGCTAACAGCAAGAATATCTATCTAATGAATTAATACAATATAATTATTGGATTTTTTTTTCTATAATATTGCATACTTCTAGTTAGACAGGTATAATGAATTTGTCCCATTATTTCTTGGGTTAGTTTTAAGTTCTGATCTATGTAGGTACAGATGTTTCTGTAATAATATACATGTAAAATAGTGGGTCTAGAACTGATAGATAAGCTTTAACCATTTCTAGACAGGAAGGGTGACACTCATATCAATAAAACCTCATTTTTCCTTTCTCAGAGTGGAAATACTTAACCAAATTACATGAAACTTAGAACAAACTTACTAAATACAATCTAGTTTTGAATTAGATTTAGTTTTCTATCATTTTTTATGTTATGAAATTTCCAAAATTTTGTTGTGAGACACTGATTAGTTTCTATATTTGTTGTTAACCACAGAGTTACACAATGAGCTATCTGTGCTGCACCCATCACAGGTCAATTCTTACCAAGATAATCCCACAGACTAATTACTGAGCTATAAAGTTCGGGTGCTGGTAACACTGTTTAGGAAAAAAAATAAAACTTTCTTTTGTCTTACAATTTCAATTATTTCTTTTAACTCTTTCATCAGAGGCTTGGTCCCTGGGACCAACCTCGTAACCATTTTGTGCTTGTTATAGTTTTCATGCTATAACTTTTAAAATAGTTATTGTATGTTAAGGAAATTTGGCAGATTATCAGAAAACATTACAATGCTTTCATACACAAAATACAAAATTTTATTAAGTCTTAAGGTTTGTAAAGCAATGTTTTTCTCATGCCATTTTTTTCTTTTTGCATATTGCCTATCCAACATGCAAAGTAATTTTAATTTTAATATTAAAAATACTTTTGTGCATCACAAAATTTTCACATTTCATATGCAAAATCTTTAAAATGTCAAGATAGTTATCAAACAATTCTTAAAAAAAAAACTTTATATTTTATTTGTTATTTTCAGTAACAAATCTTTCTATGGGTTTGGTTGATTTGATTGATCTTGTAACCGTGTTAAGACAATTAGGAAATAAATATAAGTTATGCCTTTTTCATTCTAGAATGACTACAAATTATAACACAAAAACATAAATGTTTAGACTAAATAGCTTAAATCTCATAACATTATATATTTATCATTTTTATTATATTGACCTTTCAACCATGCCTGGCAAACAATACAGAAGTTACAATGACGCAGTGCCCATGCACTCATGTTACCGTATCAAATAACATAAAACTGCCCTTTAGTCTTTACAAAGTGACCTGTT